CCCAGAAACCATCTTAGCTCCAGCAAACTGGTTGGTCCACTTAAGGAGTTTACTTCTTGGTGGGGAAACGGTTTACTGGAACTCCTCTGACTGATGAAGCCCTCTGGATAGAGGGCGAAACATCTCTATAAAAAATAAACTGTCCAGATGACCCGACTGAGAATTATTGGAAGCAGATGACAAGTTACATTTGGACTTTGAAAGGCTCACCTGTGGGAACGTCTTGTTGCAGCTCATCTGTCAGGAAGGTGTGGACCAGGTGGTGGCTCATCTTCATGTGGTCCTCGAGCTCCTTCTGCTCCTGCTCAAGAACCATCTTGTTCAGGGAGGTCTGCTTCTGCACAGCTGTGTGAGCCTGGTTCACCTCTTCCTGGCGACTGGACAGCTCATCCTCTGCATTCTGGCGTTGTTCATTAGAGCGGGTGTCAACAATCTGATTAAAGGTGAGAACAGATTTAATTCTTCAGGTGCAATGTTTGTTTAAAATTATCATATTTTCCACCGTACAAGTCGAATCAGTCCACAGATGTCTAATAAAGTGGGAAAAAATAAAATAAAATAAATAAGTTGCTTCGCTGTATAAGTCACATCTATTATGCGTCACCGCCGACCCCTGGGAAATGTGGGCCGGTGTGCCAAAAATCGATTGGTTGCCAAATGGCGGCTGCAGGACCGTGCACGGGAGGACTTTAACAAGAATTTAACAAGGTTAACACTTAAAAACAATTATTTATTTGCTTGAAATTATAGCAAAGGTGTGTCTCAGTCCAACTTTTCCTTAATAAATGCACTGACGGTCAAAACAGCTTCATTTTGCCTGGGCGCTGGTGTTCCTCCCCGTTCTGGCGACGGAGCGGGGAGGAAGGCTCCAGCCGCGAGATCTAGAGCCTTCGTCCGCCAGCACCTCGCTGCTTCCCGGGGCCACGCACACGCTCCGCTGCCCCCTTCCTCCCAGCTTGGGTGGCAGAGGAAGGCTGTAGAGCTTGCAGCCGAAGCCACAACGGATAGCGGGTAGAGGAAGAACAAAAAAGTCTAGACAGCCCTTTAGCTGCTGCAACTGGTAATGTTTACTGGTTCATGTCTGAACATTTCAAAGTCAAAAATTGGGTTAAAAATATGGGGGAAAGAAAAGTACATTAGTCGCTTCGGGGTATAAGTCACAGGACATGCAAATTTATGCAAAAAAGTGCGACTTATACGCCGAAAGATACGGTACTTAAGAGTTAAACGAAAACAAATGAGTCTGCAAAATAAATACAGCAGGTTCAGATCTTTATACAGGAGTAAGTAATTTATAATAAATAATAATCATTTTATTTAAAAAGTGCCTTTCAGGACAACCAAGGACACTTTACAGTAAGAAACGTATCAGAGAGATTGTGTAAAAACAAACAACAAGCACAGTGCAAAGATCAACAGGAATAAATTGAAATATAAAATGCATAAAGAATATAAAATACATACAGCAAAGTTAAGGATAAACGAGTCTAAAGAGATGTGTTTTCAGAGCAGTCTTTAATAGAGAAAGAGAAGTGGTGTTTCGTAAGTCAGGGAGTAGAGAGTTCCAGAGATGAGGGGCAGAGCAGGTGAAGGCCCTGCTGCCCATGGTGGAGAGGCGGGCAGAGGGTACATGGAGGTCAGATAGGTACGGAGGGGCAAGGTTGTGGATAGCTTTGAAAGTGAGAAGAAGAATTTTGAAGACTATGCATGATTTAACCGGGAGCCAGTGGAGCTGCTGCAGG